TTTTTTATGTTTTTTTTGAGCAATATATTGAGCATTATATATTCTTAAAAGTCGAAGAACAATCAAATAAAATTTTCCTATGTGGACTTTTATTTTTAACTATATGGCCAAACACAAATAGCAAGGAAGAAAACGATAGGTACTTACGCACCTACTTCTAATTGATTCAACGTCATACGTAATATGTTCAAAACTTTAGTTTTGCATATGTTAAAGTATAATTTAATTTAACATTTTTGTATTCATTAAAGTATATAATAAATGTACTGCATAGATAACCCATTATATACCTAGTTAAAATTGTAAATTTTTAATTATTATTTTAAGTGGACAGCTAGACAGACAGAAGACGTAAGTTAGAAATAAGGTACTGAGAGAACTTAATCGATACTACCTAACCATACCAATAAAAAATAAATATTAATAATTACATTTTTACCCTTTTTCTGTTTAAGCATAGCATAATCAAATAAATAAATAAATCTACTAATAATACATTTTATAATATTAAGTGGAAATATTAGATGATTGGTAATTTACTTTTAATTTTTAACTTTTAACTACACGCGGTTCTAATACTTAAATAATTTCCCTTGTCTAACTTTCAAAATCGATTCAAGAAGAAAATAGTTTTCTGAAAATGACAATTCGATCAATGGTTTATGAATTTTTACTTTTCTTTTTTTGCGGAAAAAAATTATTTACGTTCTCACTCAAAACTACACAATATTAAACAAAACTGGTACATTGATAAACGTTTTATTAAAAAAAATAAGTCGATATTTGAAATTATTTAATGAGATGAGTAATTTAATTATTAAAAATTAGTAAAAAATACTTGAATTAAAAAACTTTTTCTATAACATTTTCTATGACAATTTAGAATATTTATAACTTTATTAAGTAACGTGCATCATAACATAAATGTATTCCACGTTGAAAAAACCACCGAGAAAAGATATATATATATATATATATATATATAGAAGAGTGAATATTTTTATTTTTTTTATTAACATTAGAAAATTCGAATTACAAATTTTGGACACTTGGAGTTAGCGTAAAATACAATATTATTATTCGTATAGCGTGCGCGTATTATACGTCATATATAGGTACGTGATATACCAGTAAAAATAGCAAAATAAAACTATAAATCTCAGATGAGTATTACATTTGCACATCTGTGGAACTCGAAAGCTGTAAAAAAGAAAATACATATCTATAGCGGAATTTAAATATTTTGATCCGTTACAGGTTATGACGAAATATTATAATATAATATTTTAGACAACATAAAAAAAATTAGAGAAAATTATCATGTTAACAGACCACAGTGAATAAATAAAACTTCATCAAATGTACTCAAAACCGTTCCGATTAATACAATAAAAAATCATTTATCTTCTTAAATCTAAGATAATATTATCATTTACTAAATTTATTGGATATTATTTTTCATCATCAGCACTATTATTGTATGATTAATTTAATATATATGTTTAAAAATGTTTGCGAATTTAATTTAGAGATTATTATCTTGTCTTATGCTAAATATAAGCAAATTTCGATAAGAACAATTAGAGATTTTAGGTTTTATATCTATCAAATAGCCACGTGGTAGGTAATACTACATATTTTAGACTCAAGATATTTTAAAAACTTCATAACTATATATATTACAACTTTTGAAAAACCTCTAAAATGTGTATCAATAGAAACTAATTTATTTTAACTCGAAAAGTTTTTTATTTATTAATTATCACAAAACTACTCTGATATAAAGTTATAAAAGTATAAAACTGCTCACTTAGTGTTGATACATTTATATGTATTGACAATCAAACTATAAGAATTATATTAACTGTTATTCATTAATATCTTCACGTCACCTTATTGAATATCAGATTTTGCCTAAAAAAAAAAAAAAAAAATTTAATTGAAAATATAAAACCAATACTGATTATCATTGAGAACTGTAAATCTACATACATAATTTTAAGATGCTAAACATTTCCAATTGCTTTCAGATTTTTTCAGTTACTAATTCTTACGCTTATAACCTTATTGATAAGATAATTCTATGCATTCCATCTCATTATTTTCAATTAATTTAAAATTTTATAGGTATTTATAATTTATTTAATTTTTTTTTTTATTTACTTATCAACCTCAAGAATATCAAATGTAGCAGCTTTATGTAGATAACTATAGCAGTAAAACTATCATAATGGGGGACAACGGTAGATCACTTTCTCATAGTATACCCAGGGCAATGTTTTAAACGGCTAAAGATCTATCACCGGGCCCGCAGAAAACCTGAAGCTCACGCTAAAGGTGCACACCAGAATTTCTACAACCCCAAACAATCAATTATCATAATAAGTATTTTTTTATTAAAAAAAATTGATTACATTCTAAATTATTATTCATTATAATATTTCTAACTAATGAAATGTTATTGGGCTTATGATTTATTTTAATAATTTTTTATTAACATATAGGCAATATGATATAGCTAAAATAATAAATTTAGCATACTTGCTATAACTTATAATATAATTAGACTAGTCAATAATAAAAGGAAAATTATTATAAACAAGTTTTATGATCAATTGAATCTAAAAAGATTAAAAATCAAACATCAAAAAAACAAAATATTAAGTTAATATAAATTAAATTTATTAAGTATATTTATAGTAAAAAAAATTATTTAGTCTTTTAAATAAAACTTAAAGCAAATGTGTTTTTTTTTTTTTTTTGTTTGATATTATAATTCATCTTACTATCCCAAAAGTTTTGTCCTTAAGTTTTGCCCCATGATCATTCATTATTGAGAAATTTCAAAAGACCAGTCAATTTGTCATCCCCAGTTTTGTGAAAGATAACCAATGTTTTTATCTAAATTAAAGATAAAAGATAATCTTTCAATTATCTAGATGAAATAAAAATAAAAAAATAAAAGAGAATTATTTGAAATAACAATTAAGGTTTGACTATTGGCTATATTTTTAAATTAATTCTTTTATTTAATGCCTTAAGGTTTGATGGAATATTCTTATTATTCTTAAAAGTAAATAGGTTAATAAATAATTCACAGATGTAGATTAATTTAAATTATTATTTATTATACCTACCTATATTTAATATCTGTACAAGTAGTAATTACTAAGTGGCCTTACATTATTCATAATTTTTTAACTAAATTTCATTTGGTTATATAAGTTAACATTAAGTTGTATGACGATAATATATTAGTATATAAGTATATAACATTTGGTTGTACAAGAATTTGTATTCAAATATTTTTTAATGTAACAATTTAAATTGTAAAATACATATAAATGTCACAGTTCACATATTTCAATTATTAATGTATGACAAATTATGAAAAACGGCTAAATAAAATAATAAAATCTTATTTTAATTAAAAAAAAAGAACCACTTTGGTTGATTTAACATTTATTAACTATCGACAGAAAAAATACAAAAAGATAAGTATAAGATAAAGATACTCTGGATTTACCTAGATAAAAGATGAAAGATAATTTGGACGTTATCTAGATTATCTTTTGGATAATTTTATCTAGATAGTCCCAACACTGGTCACCCTATATACAATGCCCTCGTAATAGATGATAAAGTAAAAAAATTGAAAAGATTCTACAATAAAGTTAATTAAAATTAAAATTTAATTGTAATTGAAATATAAAACAGAAAGAAAAGTAAAAATTTTACAAAGTTTCTAAACTTTTAACAAACATATTAAGTCTGAAAAAACTTTTAGAACAGTTTTCAGTTTTAAACTTAACCACCGCTTCAACTCATGTAGTATTAAACTTTTTTTTCTGAAGAACACTTTTTGAGAAGTATTCATAAGTCGCGAAATTTGAAAAAATGACATGTAAATGTAAAACCATTAAATACTACCAACACCTATCTAAATCACTATATACCAAATAAGTTCTAAAACAATATGATGTACTTCACTGTATGTGTATGAAACTTTTTAATATTTGTATCTTTATGCATTTTTAGCCCCTAACACTAAATTTTATACACAGATGCTTCCTAATTAAATCTTCCTCATAATTTAAATTTCACAAAATCTTGTATTGACATTTCTTTGTTATAATATCGAAAAAAATTCACATATAGTCCATTTTCAATCTTAACAAAATAAAAAAATAAAAATATGAACATTTTTCATGTTAAAAACAAACATGCATTTTAATGTTGTTATACAAATTATACTAAAAAATGTATACATACTATAAAATAATGTTTTTTTTAAATATGCTACACAAAGAAATGTTGAGTAATTGTTACCTCTACCAATTTAAATCTATCAATCAATTTAAATAGTTAAGTTCTGAACAATGTAATAATAATATTAATACATAATTAAATATAAAATATTTTCATCTTTATACAAAAAATCTTCATTGAAACTATATTTTTCAATAAAGGCAAATATAATACATCATATTATACTTCAGAAATAAATTATAACAAAACTAAATAAATTTGGTTTTTTCATTATTTCCAAATAAAATACGCAGTTCTCTATGATTTTGGTTGAAAAATAGAGTTTAATATTTGATTAAAAAAAAATTTTACATTGGGCATTAGTATAAAATTAAAAAGTTATTAAATAATTTAATTTAAAACAAAGTAAATCCCATAAATTAAAAATGATTAATTTGTTTAATATCTAACATTAAACAATTTAATATGCTATAAATTTTATTACTATTACAATGATTTAAACTTGAATTTAATTTAAATAAAATTAGCAAAATAATTAATAATTTATTAATGTAAATATAAATGCCATATGAACTACCAATAATAATTTCATTTAAATATAATTTTTATTATTTTATAAAATCAGAATTGTATTATTAATAAATAATATTATCTAATGGATTTTAATGAATACAAAATATAATTTAAAATTGAATATACCTGCAATGATTTGAAATATAATTTTTTTATACCTGATCTGCAAGAGAATTAGTCAATATATGTAAATCTTGTTCTGCTTTCACGAGCTAAAATATAAAAAAAAAATAACATTTAAAAATGATCTGTCATAAGTTTTCACATAAAATATGAGTTTAAATATGAACCTTAGCAATATCTTCAATTTTTGATTCAAAATTATCAGTATGAATCAAGTTTTGTTTCATTGTCAGTTCGAGAAATTGTTGAGGAGACATTTTGACTGGTTGTTCACTATTTAATGAAGTTATTTTGTTATCAGTTGAAATTTTAATGTACTCTTCAATATCTTTTTTAATTGATATCAAATCCATGAATTCAAAAGTATCATGATTCGATGAGTGTTCCTATGAATGTAAAAAAATTATTACACTATTGAATGATTACTATTGCTAACTATTCTTATTACCTCATAATATGATACAGTTTTATTATCACTTTTTATGTCAGTTTTGATTGGTTTATTTAATATTTCAATTAATTTATCTGTAGTTTCCTCAATACTCTCAGTAATTTCATTTAAATTTGTTTTAACTTTCAATTTTGGTATAAGTTCTGGAGGGAGATAATTTTTTTTTTTAACAGACTGGAAAAACAAATAATACACTAATTAAAACTACACAAAATGTATACCTGTCTATAATATATAAATATAAAGATATTGTTAAATTAAAATCCTACAGATTCTTAATACATCATAATATAAACTCCTAAGCCAATAATTGAATACATTTTGATGATAATTGAATACCTAATAACAAGGCCGTAACTGAGGGGGTCCAGGGGTCCGGACCCCCCAAAATTTTCAAAAGTAGAAACATTTTAGCGGTGGATGAAGTTTATTAACTATAAATTGTATTAAATAATAATGTTAGACCCCTCCCCCACCCCGAAATTTTTTTCCAGTTACGGCCTTGCCTACTAACAATTATTTTTAAATAAATAATATTTAATTTTTTTTTAATTAAATAACTGTATTTATAACAAACAAACAAAACATTATTTGTAAATTGATTGTTAAATCATTTTTATTTTTAGATTGAATAAATAAAAATAAATTATTAGTAAGTATTTTTCTTAATTATATTTTTTTACAATTTAAATATACAAAATTTAGTTATTCAGAGCTAATTAAGAAAGTGTTTTAATTTAATAAAAGAAAAAAACAAATGATAATTTAATTGCACTACTAATAAAACTAACTGATCATACATAAATTAATTAAACATCTTATATAATCCTGGGTTTGAGTATTATCGTCTATAATATTATATTTTCATTTATTTTGTTCTGTTATTCATAGTATTTCTAAACATTTGAACGCAATATTTAACCATTCCATTTAAAAAATTGTTGTAAAATATACATTGAATATAATTCATTCTAGATTGTTTTAACTTAAAAGTATCTTGTAATAAAATAATTATTGTCTAAATAATATATTCATTGGTTTTCGTACATAAAAATTAAGAATATATTTTATCCAAACCAATTAAAACAAAAAATCATCCTAGAAGTTAATTGATTAAAAAATAAAATAAATAATTATAAATATTTATGGTGATAATTAAGTTCTCATTTTAAATATTAACTCCTCTATACACAAAAATAACAGAAAAAAATACCTTAGGATTTTCTAAAACTGAGTTAAATAAAATTTAAAATAAACTTTATGTTACAAAATTACTTATTTTATATAAATAAATATAAACAAATAACGAAAAAAAATTAATATAATTTTAGAGTTATTTTATTTTGACTTATGTATTGGAAAAACTATTGAAAGACTATGAAAGAGCATTGAATATATATATAAAATAACATAATCATTCGCTCAATTCCTTCACAACAACTTTGTTAAACTTTGCGTAGAAGATAATAATGTGATGATTATACATAAAATAAATATATTTTGAAAATAATATCATTATTTACTTGAAAGTATTGATCTTTGTTAAAGATGTAATTCATCAGTTCGTCATAACTAGACCCTTCAGATTCAATTGTTGTGTTAGGTACCATAGCTTCAATAATTCTTTTCCAGGTAGCTACATGCAGCTTAGTTGGCATACTACCCTTAAATAGAAATATAATTTTTAATTTCAATACTTTTATACTTATGTAAACAAACTAATAACAAGTATAATTATATAATTTAACTCAAGAATGTTTTCATGCTATTTTTGCCATAAGTAAAAAAGTTACCCTTATGTTAAATTTATATTCCATATTTTTTAATATGTTAAAGAAGTATTATTTTTTTATACACAAAACAACTATTAAGCATTTCTATTAAATTAATTTATTTAAATCTCTTTCCAGCTCAACATTTTCATATTAGAAGTGTATATAAAAACACATAAAACATTATTTATTATCTATTGAAGTTGTTAAAGTACTTGATAAAAATATAATACATATTTGATAATATTATAATATTTAAATAATTTAAAATCTGTAACAATAATTACAATATGTATTTGATTTAATGTAATGTTATATAAAATGAAACCAGTACAAACACATAAGTAGTTTTAAAGTACCAATACAAAAAAAAAACCAATTTCAAATATATGGTAAAAAAATAATGAAAAAAACCTTTTTTCTAAGTTAAATGTTTTACTTACATTTAAAAACTGTCGGGTAACTTCCTTATTCAATAACCCAAATGTTACCAATACTTTTTCAATATCTAAAGAAAATGAATAAACATTTCATAGTTATATAGCAATATATTCTGTGTTCTTAATAATAATTAAAGATAATTACTATGCTTTTGTATATCTTCACCCTCAGAATCAATGTCTAATAGCAATTTGTACACCAACAACTTTATAAGCTCATCTCTACTGGATCCATTTTGAAACATGAGTACTTGAAGAGTTTCATCATCAACATCAGCTAAATGCATCATATCAACTAATAAAAAACATTTACGAACCCATTCCAAAAAATCCTTCATAGTGTCAAATTGTGGTTTACAGATAATAATCTGAAATATATATTAAATAACATACTTAACATTATTAAGGCGCAATTGGTAAAAGGGGAATCATAAGTTAACGAAAAATTAAAAAAAATCATGAAAATACCCTGTATCTTTCCCTAAATAAGGGCACTACATTTTTAATAGCGTCAGACGTTTAATTTCCTATATCCACCAATCTACTACTACACAGTTAATTTTTAATGATATATAATAACTCAACCCAGTAGATAGCTATATAGATAGATAAATCATGCTCAAAACTTTTTAAAGTTAAATAATTTATTAGATCTTAAGAACTAGCGAGTTTACAGCTTGGTATGTAAAATTATTGCGATCCATTTGTTTATAACTAATTGCAGTTCAATGGTACGAAAATAAATAGAATGAAAAAATATATTTCTAATAATTATCATGAAATAAGCTATCAGATAGTATTTGCATAATTTTTTTTTTTGGTAAATTTAAACATTATCAAAAACGTAAAACATAAATTATTTACTTACCTGTTCGAACTAATTACCATTGAATTTGTTATCTGAATTTTTAATAAGGTTTACAGAACATTATAATTAAACTGTTATTTTCACATTTTCGATTAAACAAATTCTAGTGTTCAACGCTCTTTATCAATATTGTTATTTTTAAATTCTAGTTAATCGTATTATCACGTTGTAGCACAATTTCGCGCATTTATTATTTGATATCACAAGCACACGACCAGTGCGTGCAAAAACACAATGATGACGTACCATAAACTGGAGTGATATTTCGGACACTTCGTGTTTTTTTTTTAAATTACGATTGTAAATTAAAGTAAAAATGTCAAAATAAAAAATTTAACATTAAAACATGTTTTACCACTAAATATGATCCTTAAAACTACAATTTAACTTTATTATCGAACTGTTGTATTAAATTTAATGTTGTCTGAAGTCAAGTTTTTTTTTTTACCTAACAGCTTTCAAAAGTGATTGCTTGAAAATGATGATATGAGCGATATGACCACCAATAATAGTTCATATTTCCCCATTTTGCTAGTATTGTTTGAAGTCAGTCCTCTATTCGTCAATTTCTGTACTAAAATATATAAATAAAATAATACAACATAAAAAACGCTTCTTATAAGCTATATTTGTTGAGAAAATGTTTACCACGAAAAAAAAAAACCAATAGGCCCAACGCACACTAAAAGAGCAAACATGCTTGGAGTTATTCGGTACATTTGCTCCAAAGAGTTCGGAACAAATTCCATTCACACGGACGAAACAAATAAATACGTATTAATTTGGTGTTTTTTAAATTATCTTAATTAAAACTTCTGTTGCTATTTTCAGTGGTGTAGCGAGAAAAATATTTATATTTTGAGGGGAGGGGGTTATATGACTGATATAATATTATACCTATGTCTAAAAAATTATTGTATATTTTACAAAATTAGAGAGACAATATGAAGTGAAGGTTATAACCCGTTAACCCTCTCTTGACTACATAATGTAATAATAATAATAATAATAATAGAATAATGATTATTCTGTTTATGGTAAGAGGGAAGTCTTTGAGATTGATAATATCAATCTCAAAAACTTCTCACCTATGTATTTGTATATAATATAGTTATCTATGGTAGCTGGTAATATGCGAAAATTGTTCGGTGGATAAAATTATATTGTAAGTGAATTAGATAAATTATTATCATTTATTATTGTTTACTTTCATTTCATGAAAGACATTGATTATTAATTCATCTGGAATTATTGGGGTATGTATTTGATAATGTGACTTCATGATGGGTGTATGAGATTTTTAAAGAGAATTTAAGTTTTCATTTATTATATTTGGATGGTTTTTTTACTAATTCGTAGGCAGTCTCTTGGCTGTTCAGGAACACACAAAAACGGTCATTTGAAATCCTTGATGCTGCGATCATGTTAAAAAGATATGCGATGTTGCTGATTACTGTTACTTAATCTAATTTTTATTTTTTTACCGTCTTACATAGGTGTGTTTAAACTGGTGACCGAAAAGTCATAATAAATTTAACAAATGATAGGAACATTTTTTATTTAAGACTAAAAAGTAGAACCATTGACGTGTCAAAGAAATAAAAATGTATCTAAAACTAAAATAATAACACTTAGATAAAACTACTGTACTATACAGTGTACACTACTGGCACCGTTGGTACTGAGCATTGACTGCACTTTTTTTTTTATTCGGGCATGATTTTGTCGGAGCCAAAATCCACCAGGAGGGAGGGGCAATGCTAATCCGGTTCCTCCTATAAACATGTCTATGACTGTATATTATAGTATATTATACGATAGCTTGGTTCATTTTAGATATATTTGGATTTGCAGTCGTTCTGCGAAGATTTTTAATTTTGATTTTTATACAATGGTCGTTTGAGTATTAGATAATGAATTATTAATTTTGTTTGTTTTTCGATATTAGATATGGTACTAGATGAGTTTATGGATGCTGCTTAAAAAACTTAAAAAAAACTATTCCATATTAATTCTAGGTACAAGATCGACCAAGATCTATAGGTAAACATCCCATTATTTTAAATATTTTTGTAATACTTTAAGTAACTTATATTGTAAATAATTTGTTAGATTTATTCTCAGTACATACTTTAGTTCTTCTATCTGTGGTTGCTCAACCCCCTCCCAGCCACGTTAAGTTTGCCTTGCAGAATTAATTTATGGTATTACCAATCGGGTAAATTACCGTAAAGTTGTTGTCCAAAATATTAACTTAAAAACTCGATTTGAATGTCCAAGTAACATGGAAACACGATGGTCGATATATAAATATGTTCGATACATCATAATTTTACAAACACATTATGTAATCTAACATTTTTGAGTAAACGAGTGGTCAAAAGTATTTAATACTCAATTTCGACACAGATGGCATTATTATTAACAAAAAAAAAATGTAAAAAAAAATTATTCATATTATATATATGTAAATTACTAATTTGTAAATTGTAAAAAAATAATAATAGTTTAACTTCACTGTACTGATATGACAGAAATAAAATGAAGTATTTGCAATCCCAAAACTTTATTTATAATAAATTTCACGTATATACATTCAAAATCACAATTTTTATTTATGTGAACAAAATAACACACATAATTAGAATAGTGAAAAAATTTATTGTTAATACATTGCAATGCTACAAATTTACCAGAAAAAAATGTAACATGCATGAAATCTAGAAAATTGTTATACATTTTAATTAGGATATAAAACTTCTTATTAAAAGATGCAGTATGTACAACGTCTATATCGTAAGTGACGTACACTGTTTATTTATTCGGTTTATACATATCAATAGCACGTGAAGGCATTCTGCGACTTGTTCTAGAACAAAATGTAATACATCATTAAAAACTCGGACAGGATAGTGTAATTTTACTGTATTTGATTTGAATGCAATGATTGCATTGGATAAAAAACGATTCTGAGCGGACGAGAGAATCTTTTTTATTTAATTTTATTCGTTTCTATGGCGATAAACAAAGCGTTTTAAGAACAGCTTAAGAATGATTTATATAAATAGGTAATTTATTTTTCATTTCAAGCAATATTTCTGGTAGAAATCGTCGTCCGTAATTATATAATATAAAATCGTGAAATCGTACGTTTTTTATCCTTTAACCACTTTTATTTCGAGTACCGTTTCGAAAATCGAAAATGACCTCTCTAAAGTACCAGCTCAAGAGCATTACCTTTCAGAAAATATGCTACACTTGATACTTTTGAACAAGTTTAGAGGGAGAAAAAGTGTTTACAGAATAAAAAATAAAAATAAATAAACATCATTGTAAAACCAATACATTCCTCGCTCCGCTCAGAATCTAAAAATATAATTATAATTATAAAATCATATATTAGAAATTTCAAGAGTTTAATATATCTGTTTATTAATTCAAGATTCCGATTATTTACCCAGGCAGATATATTGTTCCAGCAGGATTAGATCCAATATTTCTTACCATATCACACTTTATAAGCCTGCCATCAAGCTGCTTGTTGTGATATACATGAACTGCTTGAATAGCATCTACACGACGTTCATATATCACTTCTGCAATACCTGGTCGAACTACTCTAGACTCTAATAAATTACCAATATCATTAAAAAGTTCCTAAATAAAAAAGTAAAAAAAAATGATTATCAATTAAGTAATAAACCAATATTAAGTTATTTTATACTATATAGTTTTAATAAAATTAAATACATACTCTTATATCTTCAGATGTAACGGACGGTTCTAAATTAGAAATAACAATTTTATGACCAGAGGGACGTGAACGCATAGCCATAGCTATTTGACGAGAATCTAATCTTGAACGTAATGTTTCATTTAATCCATTATGATTCCTTAAATAATTTATAATTAAATAAATTAGTACTAATTATAATATAATATAATATAGTAACACTAATTAAAATTATCAAATGATTAAGTAATTTTTTATAAATAAAAATTATTTATTCTTACACAACGTTTTATTTAATAACTTAAGTAATAACTTATAAATGTAAAAGGTGTCACAAATGTGTGATTCCCTCCTCGTGCGCTTATTTCTGTTAATTGTCTGTAAACTTATTAGTATTACTTATTGTACTATGTATAGATCTTAATTCTACAAATAAATTCAAATTTTTTTTAAAAAAAAAACTTGTTATTAATTATAGCTGTTTATAATTAAAATAATTTTAATTCGTGAAACTTTTGATAAAATTATATTTCACCTTGAATTTCTGTCTAATAAATCATTTTTATATCCATCACGATTGAACATTGCATTTCTTCCTACATTCCGTCTCATTATCTATAGTATAATGAAAAATAAAACAAATTGAAAATTTTAATTTAAAATGTATCTTATTTACTGGGGTCGGAGAGTATCTACTGGTTTCTTCCCAATCCATTGAATCTTCATAATCCATTGCCATAGGCCTATTATATGGTTTTTCATTTATTCTTGAAGGTCTAGTAGAACGCTCAAAAGGTTGTCTCATAGACTGAGCATTTGATATTGGACGTCTTGAAAGTCTCATATCACGTCTCATTGGTCTTATTTCTTCAATTGGCGTATCACCTTTTGTTAAAAATACAGTCAATAATAAAGTAAACAATAATAATTCAAATCTAAATATTTTACTCCTAAATGTGTTCAACTCAGAATTGAATGTATTACTGCTACATCTTTTCTCTATACCATCAAAACGTCCTTGATTTACAGTAGGTCGTCGGTCATGAACACTTGAATGATGTGAAGAGGCTCTTTCGACCAAAATAGACTTAACGGTAAGAATGCCACGATGGTCAAATTTTACATGACCTATGTTATTGGAAAGTCCTCTTGAAGTTCCCATACTATGAGTATCCTAATAAAACAATAAGAAACACTATTTATTATTATCTAATAAAAGACGACTTAAAATTAAAAATAATAATTTTACAATAATATTACTATCATTATATCTATGAGATGTTATAACAATAATAATATAATATTAAAAATTGATAAGTTATACAATTATTTGTAGTTATATAAAATAATAAAAAAAATTGTCATATTCTAACAGTCACAGAAATAATGTGTAAAAAAGTAAAATTCGAAAGTTATAATAAAGAACAAAAAAAGATTAAAGCTAAGAAAAATAAATTTTGATTAAATATCAATTAATATAAATATAAACACCACCAAAAGCATAGGCAAAAAATTATTGATTAATAAACCATATATTTATATGTATTAAATAATACATTAGATTAAGTTTTATTGAAACAAAATAAGAGTAGATAATTATAACTTGCATAATTTACATAATCTATAATTCATATTAACCTGTTTTTACTTATCCATTTACTAAATTTAACAAACATTTACAAATGAGCCTTAAGCCAATATAAATATGTCTATAACCCATTATCAAATCCATAAAATGAAACATAAAAAGTCTAAAAAAATATACAAGTTTTTAACATTGATATTAACACAAAAAATATTTAAAAATAAACAACTCAATTGATAGTTTAAATGTTATAAATCAAAAAATTAATTTCTTTTTAACTCAGTATTAATGTATTCATTAAAAATAAATAAATACTAACTACTTACTATTGATTAAATTAGTATACTAGATCAATGCTTATACATATTATAGAATTGAAATATGCAGTTTTTTTCATAAATATAGTTTAGTTACTTACATCATAAGAGGATGATAGTAATCGGCGTTCTTGGATTTTTTCACGAGCATCTTTCTGTTTTGACAGTTTTTGTCTAGCATCTACCATTACAGTAGATTTTTCTAAAGCTTTTTGCAAAAGTATAACACGGGCATCCATCACATTATTTATGGCCACTCTTGTATTTTTTGTCAACATTTTTCTTTTGTTTAATGTACCATAACTAGACTGTCTATAGTAAGTTTTTAATCGTTTAAATTTTGCAGCTTTATTAGCTGCAGCTAATCGTAAACGATTATGAGGACCAGATTGTAATGCTTTGGTACGCCTGAAATCACAATTTAACAAATTCAAATTACCAGTTTAGCAAATAGGTTAGAAATAACAAATCAATGTTTAGAGAAATAAAAATTTGAGTGGAAGACCACCGGTTAAGTGTACTTAAGCCATACAGTAATTTAAATGAATTGCTCCAGACATTTGATTGTGTTCAGTTGTGAATCGAAAGTTTCGGATCAAAAACTGGATGACATTTTATCAGTCATTATATATTTACCCTTCACGATCTTGACCATTCTGGAATCGCTTTCCTTTTATGAACTTCATGATGAAATTAATTTCTGGTTACTCGAATGCAAACGGGCGTTTGATACGTTACACCACGAACGACGATTACTAAATACGGCCGACCATGTGTACGAAAACAGAAGACTGGTGGGTTTACGGGAGTCAAAAAAGTGAACTAACATAAACGTCGTAAAAATAAACAACACGGTTAATGAATAAGTTAGACGGCGTTAGACGAGAGAATTACAATTCCATCGTTACGAAGGAAAACAACAGAAATCGAAGTAGCCAAAATGGTCGTTTTAACTCAGGATGTAATAGAAACTCATTACACAAACAAAAATGAGTATTGAAGTTTATATTTATGGTAAAAATTTAACTCAACTCTATCACCCTATATACAACCTTTTCTAAATGTCCGTCCTAAGTATTTGGTCCATGGTGTGTAATTCACAACTTTTTTTTTTTATAAATGTACATTTTTTTTCTTTCATTACAGGTATTTAGGCAGTGGAGTGATCAGATAGATTTACACTTGTCGTACAAAATTGGACACATGACTATTGATAAGATTTTAAGAAAAGTATGCAAAGCAATTTGAGAATGTTTACGCGTGGAGACCTTTCCTGATTTTACACGAAAACGCTGGAAAGAAATTGCTCGAGGTTTTCAAAAATACGTCCATTTTCCGAATTGCTTAGGTGCGATTAATGTACGATTGCACGTACAAATTAGAAAACCAAAAAACAGTGGGTCACTATTCTACAATTACAAAAATTTCTTTTTAATTGTGTTGCTAGCAATTATAGACGCGAATTACAAATTAATTTATATTGATGTCAAGTGTGGATCTAGAACTGAAATTGAGGGGATTCATTTTTTCGAAAGGACAAAAATATAATACACAATTATAAAATAATGAAAGTAAATTATTATTTAAAATTAAAACGTTGTTAATATATGAAATTGCTAATTTTTAAAATTAAATAACAAATTTTAATCTTCTTCGTTTTCTTTTTCCAAATGTAGAAATAATACTATCAACATTTATATTCTTAGAAGTTGGATGGAAATTACGATTTTTACGAACAAGTGGTGAACAACTGACCAGTGATGTAAATAAATATAATATTTTGTATAACATTTGTATTGCAAGAAAAAATCTAATTGAAAAAAAAATTAAAAACGTAATTTATGCATATTTTAAATTTTAAATAAATACGAAGTACCTAATCTTGATGTTTTTCTGGGGGTCATGACCACCATGATCCCCCCTGGAAACACTTCCAGTTACGAACTACATACTTTGTGTCAAGGTTTATTAAAAAATAGGGACTGGTACTAGTAGGGATGGCAACGATATATCGAAAATATCAATATATCGACTCGATATTTTAATGAGATAAATCGTCAAGAAACCTAGAAACATTATATTTATATACATTCATAAATTATCTGCGATGTTATAGATAAATAATAATAACTATGTTTAGTGTTTACACGTTGCACATTTGCACCATACAATCCTCGTTGATTACATCGAATGTCGATATAGGTATATAGTGTTTTGTATGTAGCTGTTACGAGTATCCCATAGATTAGTATATATAATAGATAGACGACTCCTGGGTTAAATATTGAGATTGCGAATAGCGCTTTCGGTAACCGCACGACGAACTATTCTGTTACAATCGACATTGATAAAAAAAAAAAAAAAGGTTTTCTAGTCTTCTGTAATCAAATTATGGCTAATGAATTCAATGTTTTTCCTACCTATCTATTTCAGCCTACAATTATATTGCTAACATACTGTTGAAAATCAACTATATAACGTATTAACGTCTAGCTTTTTCCACGTACATAGCATACTGCAAAATGTTAAATATTATATTATATTAATATTTATTTTTGTTATTCAATGATTACTAATAAACTTATGGCATGGTTTTGAATAGTTTTATTTGTTTTTGTTTTTTACAGTTGTTTTAATTATAACAATTAATTTTATTCAAACATCAATTCAATCATCAATGTTTTTACTAAAACCGATGCAACTAATGGCACTTAAATGTGTTGAAAAAATATAAATAGTATTGTTATTTAGTTTATTGAGCTTACAAAAACACTGATATAAAATCGACTAATGTACACAAATTTATTATTTTGACCAATATACGTACTTAATTTTAAAACACATTATAATATACAATTACAAATAATCAACAATCAAATATAAAAAGTTATCACAGTTCAATAAAAAAAAGAATAGTTATACAGGTTATACAGTATAATAACAGCATACAAGTAAATATATAAAAAAAATAAATATAAATATGGCATACAGTTTAATAATATGCTAAACAAATAGTGAAAAACAAAAAGTGATTATATTTACACCGGTACACTATTAAATTTTCCATGTATTTTCTTTTTTTTTTTGAGTGAAATATATACCATGTGTGAGCCAACCATCTTTTTCAAAGTCTGTTATTTTTTTTTACCATGAAGGATTCGGTTGATTTCCATGCAGTAGTGGTTGATCATCATTTTAACAACCATCCCAATTATTTGTGTTTGAAAAAATTGTTCATGTTCTTGGCAATGCAGTATATCGTTAAAGTTATAAAGTGAGGAGATTTTGTTTGTAAAATTTAAATAAATATTTTCATGATGACATATTTTAGATATATTTTCTCCAATATAATTTAATATATGCTCAATAGTTGAACAGTGATCGGTAAGCAACTAAGTCATCAGGTATTCATAATTAAACAGGGCTTGCAAACGTTATAATAACGTTATATTTGATAAAAAACAATTGAAATTTGTAAACGTAATTATAACGGAAAACGATAAACTTAAATAAATAAATAAATAACACAAAACAAAACTTAACGTTAAACAAAATATATGATATATGATTATACAAAACATAACGCAAAACGGTATATATTGTATTCCATTAAACGAAATAATTAATTTCCAATTATTTAATAATACTTAGTAGTATTCAATTATTTATTCAATCCAAGAATTAATTTTATTCCGTATCCGACCTATCCGGGAGATCCCGTATTAGATATTATTTTAAAATTTAATAAGAAGGTATCAATCGAATAATTTAATTACCAATAGCTAATAATAGTGATACCCTGATAATATTGTACTGTACTATCTGTACTACGGTCGAAATTTATACCATTCAAGTTATTCAACTATTGTACTCGGTGTTCAGTTTGCTCAGATTTGTTTAGTCGTCACTCGTCAGTGTTTGTCTAATTGTTGTCAAATATTTAATATTTATATTTTATATTAATATACTTATAGTTTTAACGCGCATACGTTTTCTTTATATTAGTTAATTCATAGTTGAAATTCAAAATTTCAAAATAATAATCATGATTCTTTTTTATATTTATTATTTTATTATTAAGTCCTTAGAGCCTAGGCAATTTATTAAATTTAATAATACATTATTATTTATTACTCTTTAAATTAATTATTATCATCCTGTTTTATCATTTGTTTCCATTTCTTTACGAACTACCTATGTACTGTAATTTAATCTGTATCACTGTACCCTATATTTTGTAAATAATATGTAACTGGGTTATCTAACCCATTTAATTAAATAAATAAAATAAAATAAATAAATTTATGCAACACCTACTTAAAACTCAGAATAGGGAAATTATGTCTCCAAAAAAAGGTCATAGTCACTTTTAAATTGCGGCCTGTGTACTTTTAAAATAGGTATCTAAATGCTTTTGAATTTTAAATAACGTTAAACGCAAAATTTGTATAACGTTTTGATTGTAAATAACGTAAAACAAATTTTTTTTTTTCAAATGCAAGCCCTGTAATTAAATATAAAAAATAGTTTAAATTACTAAGTATTTAGGTATACTAAAATTAAATTATGCATCTATAATCAATAAGTAGCGACTAAATATAATATAACAAATATAAATATGGCACTTACCCACAGGTAAATTTAATGTTGGATATTCGTTTGCATTTGATTGATGTGTACCAGGACTTGAACAATTATCAGCAAAATGAACAGAACAAATATATTTGTTTTTGAACTCATCCGGTGTGAAGCCCACAGCTTTAATCCATTACCAATCGTCGTGCATAATCTTTGTTTTCATTAGGAAAACGATAACAAACCATAACTACAATGAATACAATATATAGATGTATAAAATCACACAAGCAACTAAATTCAAAATTTACGATGACAACAATGTATACTAATTAGTACTTACTTTTTGGAAGTACAGCCTTTAATGACGCATTTTGTCTGGTTTTTATATTTTTCGGTCATTTTTTATCAACAGCGTATTGAACACTGAACCCAAAACGTAAAGTATAAAATAATATAAAATAAAACAACAGTATACTACTGAAACTGAACGCTGAACACAAAAAAGAATGGATGACGCTGAACGGCTGAACAGTGAACGTGTGCGCCATATATTAGTAAACATGTGCGTAAACTGAGCAGCGAGTGAGAAATGTTCAAATGACAAATGTGAAATGGCCGAATGAGTAAAGGTCGATTCACACTATACGGAACGTCGACGTCACGTCACAGATAGAGTTGCCAACTTTCAAATTGTTTAATGTAGGAACATTTTTTTCGAATCCAATTTGTACCATGTTTCAGCGGGCGGGTCCATTTTCCTCCAAAAACGAGGTGCGAGGGTGGAGGGGATGCAAAATAAAAAGTATAAAGACCACCACTATTAAACAATACGACCTATGTTTGGGGGATATGGCCCATTCCCCTTATGGCTACGGCACTGCATAGTTTAGTAAGCAATACTTCAGCTAACAGTATATAATATTTTAATGAGAACTTAGAAAAACGTGTAATATATTTTATTTATATCACTTTTATTAAATTAGCTTATTAATTATAACATTTGGGGATGTATACTGTTTTCATTAAATAATAAATGGATAAAATTAAAAGAACAATAATAATGAAGTATAAATAAGTATAAAATGTAGGATTGGCCTATTAATAGTTTATAGTGCTGTTGAACGTAGGACAAATTAAATAAATGTAGGACAATCCTGCCCGATGTGGGACGGTTGGCAACCCTAGTCACAGACCGGTAACGTCACGTCAAAATTTCTTACTATGTATTTATACCGTAATATATACCGACAACATTAGGGATTTTTTGCATAACGCCGGTTAAACGTTACAGTAAAAATAACGTTCGGTTAAACAAATCATTTTATTTTGATCGTAATTGATAAAACTTCAGTTTTTGCATAACCGGTGAGGTTTATTTTAACGTGAGATTATAAACTGTCATCAAATTGAAATATTGTTAATATTATTTACACAAGGTAAATTTTATTTTTAATTAACTATATATTAGAGTAAAAGTATAATATATTTTCTAATTTTATTCAATGTTTAAGCTTTGAATATTTCCCCACTGGTTAGCATCATTGTAGGGGTTTAAACATACCACTTGCCGTAATAAAAATAAATCCTCTAAGGTTGAAAACCGCAAACGCTCCATTTTGTATTCCATTTTAGAAATAAAAATAATTGTAAAATACGAAAAGAAACTTACAACTATGTAACTATATAACATAGTAACCGATATTACGATAACGGAGCCCGTTAAATTGTCTAAAATAACTGATTACGATAAACGGATAAACGGAACGTTATTCGGTAGCACCGACTCGTTTTAGTAAACAACGTTAACGGAGCACAACGTTATTTTTAACCGGCGTTGTGCAAAAACTTCCTATTACGCAACGTCACGGAACGGCAACGTTTATCGAAAACTATATTTTGACGTGACGCAACCGGTTCGTTATTGTCCATTCTGATAGTATGAATGTCAACACGGAACGTTTCCGTCAATAATAAACTATATTTTGGATGTTGAATGAAATGAAACTAATTATTTGGTTAATAAAATAATATATTAAACATTTAAATAGTTACGGAAGATGAGATGTTGATTCAGGAAGTACGCCAATATCAAGAACTATACGATATGATGCACAAAAAATATAGTGACAACATTCACAAAGATAATGTTTGGGGAAAAAATCATAATTTTTTTCTTCGTCGTCCTAAATTAAGGCAATCGTCGCCGGTTATTTTTTACTGAACTTATGCATGATACAAATTCGAATATTTGAAAAACAAAAAAAAAATGAATTTAAAACACAAAATAAACTAAACTTAGTCTAACTTAGTCTAACCTTACAGAATTGACTGAACGGACTTGGCGTTTCTATGGCGTTACCGATGGATGCGAATGTATTCTATTTTTGACGTGACGTTGCCGATCTGTGACGTTACGTCGACGTTCCGTATAGTGCGAACCCGTTCAAGTGCCGAGTGTCGACCGCCAACTGATAGAACAACAGCGCTCCCGGGGACCGCAATAAGTAACTACAATGGAACATATTGTCCATTAGGAGTGGCGGCACTAACCTGGGGTATCCACAGAGTATTTACCACAGAATAGATTAATTTTAATCTTAATTAATTAAAATTAATTTTAATCTATTCTGTGTACCTACTGTTAAACTATTATTAGAATGCCGATTGGGCGATAAAGCTATAAAAGAATATTGCAATTATCTATTTTTTCATAGACCGTTACACCTTGTACCCTATTGTATGCATAGACCTTATATTAATAGATGGAGCATCACTTGTTGGCGGAGTTGGGTGGTGCGGTCACGACTATTCTCATGTCAGTGATTCTGACGACATAAAATATGTTTATTCTCGTACTCATACTGTATATCAAATATTAAAACATTTAAAAATCAATTGTCCTAATAAATAACCCCGTAAACTTAGTCCCCAAAAAAATAACCTTATAATAAAAAATGATTGTGTTTCTACTCAATTATAAATGTATAATATAATGATATAATGAAATTTGTATATATGTATTCTTATCATACAAAAACGCAATAAACGATCGCCGAACTTGAAAATCTATTGCGCATAATCTATTCAAAATAACAAATTTAGTCGGCGACGACCAGTTTTCGACGGTGGCGGTCATATATTTCTCCCATTGTGCCGTCTACTCTACCGACGGCGGCCGTCGACATACGACCGTTGTCGACGCATGACAAACACATTAACAGTATTAATTATTTTATTACATAAACAATGTAATTTAAACATAGGCGTGCGCACGGGTGTGGCTTATAGAGCTATAGCCACACCTGAGACTTTTTTTATGTAGGTACTTATGTAAAAAGGACTAATAACTCTTTTTTTTTGGAAAATCGAAAGTTTTTTTTATCAATTTTATCAAATTATAATAAAATAAAAATTTCAGGGACTGGAATTCATTGATCAGATTGTACATCAGTTTTTCTAATACATTTTATATCTACTTACTTATGTTTAGTATATCTATTTTATTTGTTTAAGGCGGAGTTTTATAAAGGGGCGGGTTAAAAAAAAATAAAAGCTACACAGGAAACAGGAATCTGCGTACGCCTATGGCTTTAAGTTATTTGTTAGCGTCACTGGTTAACAGTAGAATAATGCAGCGCTCTTGCTGACAACAGTGTCGAAGACAGGCGTGCGTAGTGAGGCCACGCCCCTGCGCAGTAGCCCCTTCGTTTAACTATGGTGGTAGGTGTCTGGTGTTTGGGTGAGTGTGGAATAGGTTGGGTGGATAAATTTACACTCTAGTTAGTAAATCTTAAAAATGTACAAATCAAGAAACAGTCGATCTGTAGATGGTAGGATACTATGGTGCGGTAGAGCAATTCCCCGATCAATACATGCCTTTATACCATATCAAGTATAAAGACGTACATTGACATTTATAATTATTTAGCACACATGATGACGCTAAACACCTCTCGGTTTTCAGTATTTAAAAGTAATTGTACAATATGCAAATATATCTTTTAAACATTTTAAGATAGTTACTTAAATTGCTTAAATTGCCCCGTGAAACATTTTTGAAACATCTTTTTTTAAATTACAGTTGTTTAAAAAATGAAATAACTGTTTTTTGTTTTACATTTTTTTAGCTTTAATAACGCAGGTATTTAATATTTAAATACGCTTCAAATTGATATTAAGTATTTTTTTCTAAAACCACTATGAAATAGGTAAGCAATAAGTAAGGTAAATAGGTAATAACTAATACCTAATTTATAATTATCATTTTCAGTCTGTAGGATTATTGATTAACGACAAAATATGTGGTATTTTACTCGATCGTAATTTATACTATTATGTGCTGTTTTAAACGGCACATTTAACAATAAATACAATCGTATTCTAAAATAGACTTAATAGTCGGGCTGTCGGTAATAACCCCTCAACCCCCCCCCCCCCCCGGATACGCCACTGCTGAATAGTACCTACCTAGTAGATGAAATTGAACTGATAAATTGCGAGCGACTTTATGATGATTAAATTTACAATAAAATCATTCAATCATGTAACCTATCATTATTTTGCTCTAATTTTTTGGGTGGTGGTATTAACAAATTTTTATACTTTGCCCCACCGAATAAAATACAAGTCGGCACCACTGATTGTATGAAATTATCGATATATATCGATAATATCGATAAAATAGCGGTCGATATATTGTGGTATTCCTATTGGGTATGTGGTGTATCGAAATTTCGATAAATTGATGATCAAAGATTTTTGGTCATCCTTAAGTAGTAATTATAATAATAATAATAATAATAATAATAATAGTACACTCACTCGACTTGGCGGGAATGGGTTTCCATTATGTGTCCAACCGTGGCGGTTTCCGACGTAGATCCAACTTTAGCGACTACGACAATTAATACACGTTCGGATGCGTTCCGGTTGTCGGTTAGTGGGCAGCGAAACGCACAATGCGGTACTATTACCGTAGGCAAGGGGGTCCGTCCACGACAACGGGGACGATGCAAATGATCCGATCTGTGGACATCTGTAACACTTGGAGACAATGTAAGCGGGTTACAGAGGGTTGTTAAATGTCGTATACGGTGGGGGAAAGAACAAGAATCGATCACTAACGCTACCTTGTTGTCCACGCGCGTACCTAACATCGTATTCCGATGCCGAAACTCGACGGGATGCAAGGGCACAGCGCTGTCCATGAAGGGATGTTCAGCTCATTGTATTCGCGGTCAGCTGTCCATATTGTACCGTAGCAGAGGTAGTTTTACACTATAGATCTGTTTATATATATACAGATTTATTGTTGGTGTATGCCATTTACCTGCTTGCTCGTAGACGGGTTCCAAGGATATTCACTATAAAGAAACGATCCACGTGTAACTGCGACCACGATCGAAACAGATGCGTAAACGAATTTTGTTTAAGGTTAGAAATCGAACAACTATATTGTTTAATACTCTACTTGTTGGCTGATAACATTTAACGATGCGAAGAAATTAGGTAACTACAATTTTTTTTTTAGAAACGTAACACAATATATTTGTCTCAGGGGTTAAATAAAGAAAATAAAAAAATAAGAATTAGTAATAATAATGCATAACAAAAATAAAAAAATATTATAATAGATAGCCTACTGAAGTAAAAAAAATAATAGATAGTGATACTTAAATTAAAATTATTTAATAGCGGGTTCAAATAAAATACAATGAATTCCAAAATATTTGTTCATATTATTTATTTATTTAGGAAACAATATTACCTTGTTATTTTGCAGTTATAATTTCATTTCAAATTTAACATCGCAGTGTCTTGATTTGTAGATACATTATTACAATACAGTATACGATAAATACGAATTCATATTATTATTAATACAAAGCGACTACACTGTCTTAAGGTGTTCGTAAG